TATTTGAATAGCGTGGGGAAGGGCATTAATAGCCATGAACTTCTTCATGTTACTTTTGTGCCTTCTTGATTTTGCTTATCACTCTCTACCCTGATAAGAATGGTCTTTATGTTATGTATTTGATTAGTCTTCTGAGTACCTAGGACCACGTGACCCTTTGATAATCCAATATACCTTTGTTGTATATCTATTTTCTTCCTGATGCAAATTACATTTTCTAATGACTAGAGAAGAATTTTGATCTTCTCTTGATAAAGTGCTTTGCATTTTTTGTGCTTAACAATTATTGTAATATAAATTATTTATGAGCTCAAATCTAAGACTGAAGTTTTCTTGAAATGTTTTATGTTTGTTGTCTTCTTCATCATTATGGTTTGAATTAGAGGAATTTCGTAAAAAATATTTCAGGTTCCATAAGAACAAAGCCTATGCTTTCAAAGCAAAGGATTTTCAAATAGTCTTAGTAGTAGGAAAACTTATTAACATTAACATAAAAGTTAATTTTACAGAGAGAATTCTGGGAAGACAATGGTGTAGGAAGGACCAGGAATCTTTCTTCATCTATACAACAACCGCCCTGGCAGAATCTGTCTGATGTAACTATTTTGGAACTCTGGAGTCTTTGAAAGGCTTGCAACTTCCAAGAGAAGGCATGGATAGTAAATTGTGGTTAATTTCAGCCAATTTTATCTCTTAGCACAGTCGCAGCTACCCATCCTGCACACCCAGCCCCATGGCAGGCAGCCATACACTAGTTCCTGAAGGGGCTTGTACACCACTTGTAGGAGCCAGGGATGGCAAAGAGGACACTGTCCTCTAAAAATCAGGAATTTGTGCTCTGATTTCTGATTGCTGCTTCTGATCATATAGGTGCAGACTAAGAGACAACAGCCATTGTTGTTACACCTTCCCGCATTGTTGCAAGCCTCTCCCTTGCTAGCTGAAATGAGTTTAGAGCCCTTTCTTTCCTTTTCATTTTTTTTCTTTTCCCCGTTTGGAGCCAGACATTAAAGAATAAGACATTTAAAAGTAACTATGTATACAGGAGAAGTCTAGAAAGTGACCATGCATACTCCGGGGAAGGTACAGGCTCAGAAATGATCAGAGACCTGAGAAAACTTTAAATTTACACCTCAGGCTGATCCTTGGCACAGAGACAGCCTACAACAATAGAGACAAAACCAAAAATAACAACAGCCATCAAACCCTGGGGAAGAGGGATAATCTGATTTCCAGAGGTACCACATTATTAGATTCAAATGTCCAGTTTTCAGCAAAAAAGTCACAAGGCATGTAAAGAAATAGGAACATACTTTTCATTCAAAGAAAAAAAAGTAAACCAATGAAAGCTGTCCCTGAACTAGACCTAGTGGTGGATCTACTAGACAAAAATTTTAAAATAACTATCTTAAAGATGCTCAAAAAGCTAAAGGAAGACATGGAGAAAGTAAAACGGCAACAACAGCAACAACAACAAAAACAACGCCTGAACAAAATGAAAATATAAATAGAGAATATAAAAAGAAACCAACAAGAAATTCTGGAGCTGAAAAAAACAGCTGAAATAAAAAATTCACTAGAGGGATTCAAAGGCAGATTTGAACAGGCAGAAGAAAGAATCAGCAAAATTGAAGAAAAGACAAATGAAATGATTGTGTCTCAGAAAAGGAAAGATTAAAGAAGCATGAGCAGAGCACAGGAACTGTGAGACACCTGTAAGTGGACCAGCATACACATGAAAGTCTCAGAAGGAGAAGAGAGAGAAAAAGGGGAAGAGAGAAGAGCTGAAGAAATAATGGACAAAAACTTCCCAAATTTGATGAAAGCTATGAACATAAACATCCAAGAAGCTCAACAAACTTCAAAATAGGGTGAATTCAGAGAGACCCTCATTGAGACACATCTTTTAAAAAATGTTTCATTTTGGCCAGCGCAGTGGCTCACGCTGGTAATCCCAGCACTTTGGGAGGCTGAGGTGGGCAGATCATGAGGTCAGGAAATCAAGACCATCCTGGCTAACACGGTGAAATCCAGTCTCTATTAAAAATAAAAAAAAATTAGCTGGGAGTGGTGGTGGACACCTGTAATCCCAGCTACTTGGGAGGCTGAGGCATGGGAATTGCTTGAACCTGGGAGGTGGAGGTTGCAGTGAGCTGAGATTGTGCCACTGCACCACTGCACTTCAGCCTGGGTGACAGAGTGAGATCCTATCTCAAAAAAGATCTTTTATTTTAAGTTTGGGGGTACATGTAAAGCTTTGTTACATAGTTAAACACATCTCTTGGGGGTTTGTACAGATGATTTCATCACTCAGGAATCAAGACCAGTACTCAATAGTTATCTTTTCTGTTCCTTTCACTCTTCCCACACTCAAGTAGACCCCAGTGTCTGTTGTTTCCTTCCTTGCGTTCGTAAGTTCTTACCATTTAGCTCCTACTTGTAAGTGAGAACATGCTGTATTTAGTTTTCTGTTCCTGTGTTAGTTTGCTAAGGATAACATCCTCCAGCTTTATCCAAGTTCTCACAAAGTACATGATCTCATTCTTTTTTTTATGACTCCATAGTATTCCTCGGTGTATATGCACCACACTTTCTTTATCCATTCTGTCATTGATGGGCATTTAGGTTGATTTCATGTCTTTGCTATTGTGAATAGTGCTACAGTGAACATTCACGTGCATGTGTCTTTACGGTAGGATGATTTATATATATTCCTCTGGGTACATACCTAGTAATGGGATTGCTGGGTTGAATGGTAGTTCTGCTTTTAGCTCTCTGAGGCATTGCCTTACTGCTTTCCACAATGATTGAATTAATTTACACCTCCATCAACAGTGTGTAAGTGTTCCCTTTTTTCTGCAACCTCACCAGCATCTGTTACTTTTTGACCTTTTAATAATAGCCATTCTGACTGGTGTGAGATGGTATCTCGTTGTGGTTTTGATTTGCATTTCTCTAATGATCAGTGAGTGATATTAAACCTTCTAAAGTATGCTTGTTGGCTCCATGCATGTCTTCTTTTGAGAAGTGTCTATTCATGTTCTTTGTCCACTTTTTAATGGGGTTGCTTGTTTTTTTTCTTGTAAATTTGTTTAAGTTCCTTATAGGTGCTAGATATTAGACCTTTGTCAGATGCATAGGAATAGGCAAAGATTTCACGACAAAGACACCAAAAGCAATTGCAACAAAAGCAAAAATTGACAAGTGGGATCTAATTAAACTTAAGAGCTTCTGCACAGCAAAAACAAACAAAAAAAATTTCTATCAACAGAGTAAACAGACAACCTACAGAATGGGAGAAAATATTTGCAAACTATGCATCTGAGACAAATTTTAACTAAACTTTTGAAAGACAAAGAAAAAAGGAGTCTTGAAAGCAGCAAGGGAAGTGACTCATCACAAGCAAGGGAACAATAACAAGATTATCAGCATATTCTTCATCAGAAACTTTAAAGGCCAAGGCTGATGTATTCAAAGTGCAAAAAGAAAAAACAAGAATAATTTATCCAGCAATATTGTCCTACAAAAATGAAAGAGAAATTAAGACATTTCCAGATAAACAAAAGTTGAGGGAGTTCATTACTGCTAGAACTGCCCTGCAAGAAATGCTAAACAGAGTCCTGCAGGTTGAGATGAAAGGACATTAGACAGTAACTTGAAGCCATATGAAGAAATAAAAGTCTCAGTAAAGATAAAGAGGGGCAATTATAAAAGCTGGTGTTACTGTAACAATGGTTTGTAACTCTGCTTTTTGTTTCCTCCATGATGTAAGAGACTGATACATTTTTAAAAGCAATTATTAGTCTAAAAGCTAGTAGTGTTATAATTTTGGTTTGTAATTCAACATTTTGTTTCTCTATAATTTAAGAAGTTAATGCATTAAAATTATTAGTTTGTTTTTGACACACAATGTATAATTATATAATTATGTGACATGAAAAATTGAAAGGAGAGTGGACAGAGATGTAAAGGAGCCCCGTTTTTATGTTATTGAAGTTAAGTTGGTATGAATCCCAATTAGAATATATAACTTCAGGGTATTAAATGCAATCCCTATGGTGACTACCAAGAAAATAGAACATATGCATAAAGGAAATGTAAAAGGAAACTATACAAAATTTCACTATAAAAAATCAACTAAACACAAAAGATAATAATGCAGGAAATGAAGGTAAAAAAACCTATAAGGTATGTAGAAAACAAACAGCAAAATGACACAGGGAAGTGCCCCCTTATCCATCCACCTTAAGAAGGAAGGAAATTTTGACCTATGCTACAACAGGAATTAACCTTTAGGACACTATGCTAAGTGAAATTTTCCAGTCACATAAAGACAAATACTGTATGATTTTGTTAATATGAGGAACGTAGAGTAGTCAGAATCACAGAAACTGAAAGTAGAATGGTGGGGGCCTGAAAGTAAAATGCTGCTGCAGGGGACAAATGGGGAGTTAATGCTTAAAGGGTTTAGAGTTTCAGTTTCGCAAGATAAAAAGAGATCTGAAGATGGATAGTGGTGATGGTTGTACAACAATATGAACATACTTAATACCACTGAACTGTACTCTTAAAATGGTTAAGACCATAAATTTGATATATGTATTTTACCACAATACAAAAAATTGGAAAAAAGCTAATGTATTAACGTATTGTTTAGGGTCTAACATTTTCCAAGTGCTTCTCTATCTCTGCCCTATGTGAGGGCAGGAACCTTGCTTAATGTATCTTAGAGATGTGTCCACAGTGCCTGCACAGGGCCAGGTGTTGTGACAGACAATTAAAAACAATTGTTAAATATTGCTGAATGAGTATTTTCTTATTTAAGTATTACAACTGCCTTATGGGACCATATAGAACATAACTAGTTCTATGTTCTGTAAAGTCACCGGGAATACTGAATTAGTGAATAGTGAATACCAAACCCTTGCTCTTAGGGCAAATACAGGGTGAGGTTTCTTTGAGCCTCTGGTCACAACATTTTCATCAATTAATAACCTTGTGCATTTCTGTTTAAAGATGCCTTATTTAATATATATTGTTGATTCATGGACATCAAGCTCGCAGCCAACAGCACTATGACTCATGCCTGAATGAAGCTTATCTAACACAGGCGTTTTCTCTGTAGGGCACATCACAGCCTTCTTGTGCTTACAGACAGTAGACAGCACTTCAGTGCTATGGTTGGGGGTCATTTTAAATAGCAAAATCACCAAGAAAAAGCACAGAAATGTGAAAAAGGTGGCACTAAATAGACCACAAAAAGTATACCTCTTTTCAGTATCAGGGCTAAAGGCAGAAAGCACAGTGTCACCTTGTTCTCCCTCAGCTGAGCACATTCATGTCAGATGACTTTGATTTTTTGCCTCTCTGCATATCTGTGAATGACCATGAAAGCGTGGTGAGTATTGATTTTTTTGGGGGGAGGGCGTTTATAAATAAATATTAGGGAGCAAGGGAACATGCAGATACAGAATTTGAGAGTGATGATTTCCTGCATTAATAGGTCCTTTTTGCGTGCTTAGAAAATCCAGAAAGAAAAGTTTTTCAAGTTCAAAAAGATTTGTCTGAGGTCATACGAGTAGAACTGAAACCTAAGCCTTCTGATTCTGGGTCAACATCCATGCCAGTATCCAATGTTGCTTTCTTAAGAAGTGGAGGAGGGCTTATGGTCAAACTCAGGAGCACACAGATAGCACCTATTTTTGAGCAGTAGGTAGTATCTGTGCTTAAAGTTATCAAGTTCTATAATTTGAAATTGCATTGACATTCCTACAAATTATCTCTCTTGTAACTTATGTTACTCGTTTATAATAAAAACATTTATAAATAGTCACTGAATCCTACCATGACTGTAAAAGGAAAAGTAATTGGGGCTTATTCTTCTCAGATGTGCATTGCACCAGTGCAATGGGAACGTCATGACTCACTGCCCTGTTTGTGGGGGACTGCCAGCCAGTGCTTGTTATATACAAGGTTCCAGTTCTAGGAGGAGGCTGAAGAAAGAAGATAAAGAGGAGATGGGCAACTGCCTTCAAAAGTATCTTGGGGTTATTCTGTGTTGTTTTGGTGCTTTCATCTTCTATAGAGGCCAGCTAAGTCAGGGTGCTCAGCTCTAAGTACAAAACCCAAATTGGTTAGATTAAGTCTTTAATTTCTTTTTCCATTTTTTCTAGCTTTATTGAGGTATGATTAATAAATAAGAGTTTTATATATTTATGGTGTACAACTGATGTTTTGATACATGCATATATTGTGAAATGATTATTGTGATCAAGCTCATTAACATATCCATCAACTCACATAGTTACCCTTTTTGGTGTGTATGCGGTGAGAACATTTAAGATCTACTTTCTTAGAAAATTACAAGTATACCGTACAGTCTTATTAATGATAGTCATTGTGGATGATTTAGTTTGCCATCCCAAGATGGCAAAACACAGCTGTGTATTCTAATGTTGGGAATGAGAAGGTAATAACTATTCCTTTTGAAATATTAATTGGATGATACTCCACATATTTTCCAAAGACACTTTCCAAATTGTATTCTGTAGGACATTAGTATTCCATGAGATCTTAAAAGATACACTGTAAAAAAAAAAAAAGTGTTTAAGGTGAAGAGAGTTTGGTAAACATTGGGTTAAATGAAGTTAAGCAGTTTTCTTTAATGCAGGTTTCTTGGAACCACTAATAAGCCTGTATGTGTGTTCACTCCGTCAGAGCAGGTAACTGTGGGACACCCAGAAATGTCTCTTGTTCTGCAGATCATGGTTTGGAAAATGCTGTTGTGCAGTATTGTGTACAAAATTCCAGGGAAAGTGAGAGAAGACAGAGTTAAAGTTTTCATTCTGCTGAGATGGAAAAGTCCGGTGAGATTGAGTTATGTTCTCTACCTTACACTACTGGAGAATCCTAGCAGGTGAAACTACACCTGCAGCAGCAGTTCTCTTTGTGGAGAGACAATGTCCGTCTGCCCCATGCAGTGTATAGTGGGTAAATCTAGTGAATTTCTTTCCTGAACCTAGGGGGTACTGTGGAGGCTGCAGGAAAGATTTCCTCTACAACCAAGAGTCAAGCAAGGACTCTTGGGAGTGTGGGACTTGTAGTGGTTTGAATGGTGGTCTCCCTTAACCCCAAATTATATGTCTAACTAGAACCTGTGAATGCAACCTTATTTGGAAACAGGGTCTTTGCAGATGTGTTTAAGTAAAGGATCTGAGATGAGACCATCTTGAACTTCTTGAAACCAAGAAGAGGAAAACAGTGTTCTACATGCAAATTTTCTAACATAAGAAAGAGGTTATCTAGATGGACACTAAATCCAAGGATAGGCATCTTTATAAAAGAACAGGCAAAGGGGGATTTGAGATAGAGAGAAGAGGGTGTGAAGATAGAGGCAGAGATTGAAATTATGTGGCTACAAACCAAGGAGCTCCTGGAGCCACCAGAGGGTGGAAAAAGCAAGGAATGGATTCTCCTCTAGAGGCTTTAGAGGGAGCACAGTCCTGGTACTGTGGGAGAATTGAAGGAAAGGTGTACATGGACTGTCTGGAGAGCAAGGCCACCACGGTGGGAAGGATGCTCTACTGCATGGTAAAGGGTTAGAATAGGCCACTTCTGGGAGAGTACTCCAGCAAGGAAATAAAATAAATTTCCCTTGCCTTGTAGAAATCAGTTGGGAGTCTTTGGAATGGGTGCAGAGTGAAGGCAGCACGAAGCAAGTGTGATCTCTGACTGCTGCTGACTCCCACATCTTTCACGACAGTGGAGCACTCTTGGGACACTGCAGTATGAGTTTCAGGAAAATGCACCGTAGTGAAAAGACATTCCACATATTCAGCCATTGCAAATGAAGCAGAAAAAAGTTGCTAACCCCCCCCTCCACTGAAAAAAAAAAAAAAAAAAAAAAAGGTGTTACTGTTTCTACCTTCTAGGAGAATGGCATAATGTATTATTTCCAAGGTAATGATTCTATTGCTTTGAAATAGCCCTGATGGGACTTTTGATTGAGAAAAACAAAACTTTCCTGGGCATACTGAGGACAAGTCAGGATGAGACAGAGCTCATGTTTTACTGCTCTGCATAATAAAGTAAGATAGATAGAGGGGGCTAAGGTCTGTGAATGGAAAGGGAAGGGGGGGGTGTGAGGAGGATGGAGTAAGAGTGACAGGTCCTAAGAACATGGAGGGAGGCTGTGTGTGACTGATGGAGAAATATGGTCCTGGGAGATTTCTTGTAGTCAAGAATGGTCCATACAATACCTTTAGTTGGCATTGGAAGGAAGTTGTTTCCTGCTCTGTGCTATAAGTACTGTCTGTTACTCTCAAGATGTCAGCAAAATTCTATACACAGAAATCTTGTGTTAGAGATGCTTTAGGAGTTGCAGAAAAACCATGCTATCAAGTGGTGGGGAACTGGGAGGCAAGAGGATGTCTGTCACAGAAACTGGCGATAGAGGGGCTGGCAATGGCAGAGATGCAGGGTGGAGTGGACTGATTCAGGGGAGGCAGAGGCAGACCTGAGGGAGGTGCTAGGCTTCCTGCTATGTGTGACCTGGGAGCTTTATCTAGATATTAAAAAGAAGTTTCGGCCAGGCACAGTGGCTCACGCCTATAATCCCAGCACTTTGGAAGGCTGAGGAGGGCAGGTCATGAGGTCAGGAGTTCGAGACCAGCCTGACCAACATGGTGAAACCTCGTTTCTACTAAAAATACAAAAATTAGCCGGGCGTGTAGTCCCAGCTACTCAGGAGGCTGAGGCAGGAGAATCACATGAACCCAGGAGGCAGAGATTGCAGTGAACTGAGATTGTGCCACTGCACTCCAGGCTGGGTGACAGCGAGACTCCATCTGAAAACAAACAAAAATCCCAGAGGGTTCATCACAGAAAAATGGGGGTCATTCAGATTGACGGTGTCTGGGCTTCTGAGTAAAGTCAGACGTGCTCAGGATTGGGGCGTGGGTGGGTAGGATTTGGGTGTGCTTAATTGAGGCAGATTTGTGAGCTTATTATACAAACCAGAGTTCATTGCTATATTATTTGAACTTAATATAACTCTTTGGTAAAGCACCTGCCCTATATTTAGAATATTCTCATGAGGCTGTGTGTGTCTATGTTTGGAGGGTGGATATTAAGGATGGGGAAAGTGGAAGGAAACTATGCCAATTAATAAATGCCATGAAACCAATGCCTTGTGGAAAACTATGCAAGAAGACTGTTCCTGGTGGTGCAGAAATATGATCTCACTTGAACAAGGAACAGATAAATGGAAAGGCAGAGTAACAAAGGTATTGGTTCAGTGGGAACCACTGACCATGACTGCAGAAGGAAAAGAAAGTTTTAGGCCAGGCACGGTGGCTCACACCTGTAATCCCAGCACTCTGGGAGGCCAAGGTGGGCAGATCACGAGGTCAGGAGATTGAGACCATCCTGGCTAACACGGTGAAACCCGTCTCTACTAAAAATACAAAAAATTAGCTGGGCGTGGTGGCGGGTGCCTGTAGTCCCAGCTACTCGGGAGACTGAGGCAGGAGAATGGCGTGAACCTGGGAGGCGGAGCTTGCAGTGAGCCGAGATCGCGCCACTGCACTCTAGCCTGGGCGACAGAGTGAGACTCCATCTCAAAAAAAAAAAAAAAAGTTTTAACCTAGGAATATCCCATTCAATATTGTATCTGAAGTCATTTTGAGAAGAAGAGAGTGATTGGTTTGAATCTACTAGGTAAAAACTAATCGAAGTAATAATTGATGTTATGTGTGTTCAGTCTGCCATATTGCCATACTTACTATTCTTAGATATAAAGGTTTTAAATATCCAATAATAGGTAAGGGTGAAATATCATCCAAGACTGAGATTCCGTTTCACCCAAGGCTGTCAAATTTGTGGGAGCATAAGTTAACACGAAATTAAATATTGTTGTTTTAGCGATTATAATGATATGCTAAACAAGGGCTACTTTGGGGAAAAAAAAAAGCCTGCTTGTATATAGAGTACTTTATTATGTCTTCCCACATGATTAGGTTGATGTCTGGGTTTCCGATTCTTTCTGAGGCCCGAGATACGATTAGATCACTCATTCCCAACTGGTCATTTCTCTCTGTGGATGGGAGAATCAGTGCTAATTGATACTTTTTATATTTAATTACACTTAATTACTTCTGTCTGGCTGCCCTGAAACCAAGAAGAGGAAAACAGTGTTCTACATGCAAATCTTCTAACGTAAACATTTCTTAACCTTATTTGCTTCAAGATTGGTCCAAATATAGAATCTTTAAGATAAAAGCTGTTTAAAGTGGTTACTTATCTGTATTTTGGTCCTGTCTCTGGAGCCTGTCTTTCTGGAAACCATTTGTGAGATTTCTGTGATAGGGAATTTGCTCATTTTCTACCTCCCTGGCACCC